CGGTATATACCGAAATATCGTATTTTATTTATCTCAATTATGAAACAACGTAGAATAATATAATCCATCAAGATTCGTTACATTGCGCAATCGCAATCGCAATGCCAATGTATTTAACGCTAATAGATCGCGTTATATTGTTATATATGTTTCGTGTATAAATAAAAACGAAAGTTACTAATTATTACTTTTTCGTCTTGTTTCAAAATGGGATAAATAATTCATTCGATTTCTTAATTTTTTTTATGAAAAGATCAGGAAAGGATTAAAAAAAAAAAAAAGTAACAGCACGCTTGCAATTTCATTCAACCGATATACAAATACACATATACACATAAACACGCATACGCGCATGCACGCATCACGCACGCACCACACACTCACACACGCACACACGCACTCACACATACACACACGTATATTTAATCGATCGAAAAACACGGTATTTTCCTTTTTGTTTTTTCGTAAGCCGCGATCGAATTTGATCGATGATCGATTCCCTAAATATATATGTAGAATTTGCGATGCAGAATCAAAGTGCCTTATCACGATTTCTTCGTACCGTGAGAGCAACACGTGGTATATTGCACTCGCATACTTGGACAGAGAGACGAGAGGAATCAACGTTTTCCTCAATTTCCGTTCGATTCGTTTATCGTCCTATAATGCGATATCATCTTATATGTATAATGTATGCATTTAAACGCGTGTTTTTTGCAATTATATTTCGGATCTGTAACAGATAACCGATCGGGTTCACGTTTTTTTCCAATCGTTTCATAATAAAGTAGTTGCATATCGATATGGATAGATGTAAAATGAAAAAATGAGAAACGTGAGAAAGACGAGAAAAAAGAAGAAGGGAAAAGGATCGATAGATAGATAGAATAGGGGAGAATAGAAGGAAATGAAAGGAAAAAAGAAAAGAACGAGAAGCAATAGCGATAAAAACGACAGCACAATTGACAATTGCAATAAAAAAATTAGGAAAGAATATAACGACGAATGTTTTGCATGTAAGCAATGAAATGTAAGCAAAGATGAGAGAAGAGAAAAGAAATTGAAAACTTTACCGCCTATTTATCGATTTCGTTACTCTTACGATCGCGGTCTGTCGTTTTAAATTTTTCTCGTACCATATATTATAAATAGAGAAAAATGGTAGAAAATTATAAAAAGAGGATCACGTTGATTAAAATTACCACACGATTACGATGTTCTCATTCATGTCCACATTTTTGAAAAGTTAATCGATCGCTAAACGATCGTTGTAACGATCGTCCGTTGTTTCCTTTTCAATCAAAAATCGAATCAAATCGAATCATCGAACGTCCATGTATACGATATTCGTATCGTCGCTTAATCGCGCTTCGATCGCGTTTAACAGCGATTCGATCGGAAGAAACCCGTCCAAATGCAATACCTATTTATTACTCGTGATTAACCAGCATCGTCTATCCCCCGCCCCTCCCTCTATCTTTTTTCGATTTAACATCTTTATCTTTAATTCGATTTCATTCGTTTAATCCTTCGTCATCGTCTTTAGGATCGATTGATCGACATATGTAAAGTATTTACACACTCATTTGCGCAAAATCTATCTACCATCGCATCGATAACGAACAAAAGGACAGAGAAAATGGCTACGCTATTCTTCGAATTTGCCGCATCAAATATTTAGTACTTTTTCGTACTTACTCGTTAATTTTCTTTTTATATCATTCATTTATATCTCTT